CTGTAAGATTATCAGTTTGTTACTGATGTTTGTATTGTATCAAATTTATTTGATCAATTTTATCAATTTATCCTTAAAACACTTTCAACTACTTAATTACATAATGAATCTGCTATAATCCAGAATGTTTCCACTGACTCAGTTTAGTTACTATTGTAATATCTTTACTTGTTCACCTGTCTCCCGCATCAACTTCCTTACAATTTCTTTTAAAATGGACCAGCCTATAAGTAATTGGTGTTTTAACACTGGAAACGCATAAGTAGGCACACCCACACTCAAACCGTCATAAAGCAATGCAAATACACCCACCAAGACAGGCTCTGCCACTGACTGAGAGACAGATCATGTAATAGCAGGAAACAGGTCGGAGTAGAATCAGAAATGCCTGGTGTGCAGTCCTGGTTCTTCTAGGGGCTTCAGCTTCCTCACACATAAAAAGTTAAGATAGTGAAAACTGGAGACATAAATAAATCATTTAGCACAGTGCACACACCACCTGTACCAAAGTAGACTGGGCTATCTTTCCCAGCTGCCCCATTCACAAACATTGTTTGCTGTCTTTAACTGGCACTGTCTTCCCCCTCTTTTTCTTTTTTGTTAAAGCTTTAAGATATAATTTACCTCCCATATAATTCACCCTTCTAAAGTGTTCAACTCAGCGGTTCTTAGTGTATTCACAGAATTGAGTGATCATTACCACTATCTAATTCCACAAGATTTACATCCATTCAAAAAAAAAAAAAAAAAAGCCATACCCATTAGCAGTCAGTTACTACCCTTTACTCCCTCTCTCCAGCCCCTGGAAACCACTAACCTATATTCAGTCTCTACGGATTGGCCTATTCCAGACATTTAGTATAAATGGAATCTTATAACAATATGCGGCCCTTTTGTCTCAAGTTTCATTCATGGTGGAGCACTTGTTACTACTTAATTCCCTTTTATGGCTGAATAATATTTTATTGTATGAGTATAACATATTTGTTGATCCATTCATGAGCTAATGAATATTTGAGTTGTTTCCACTTTGAGACTATTATGAACAATGCTGCTATGAACATTCACATACAAATTTTTTTGTGAACATGTTTTCATTCCTCTTGGGTATATACCTAGGAGTGGATCATACTGTAAGTCATATTGTAAGTCTAGGTTTAACCTTTTGAGAAAATGCCAGGCTGTTTTCCAAAGCAGTTGTACCATTTTACATTCCACCAGCAGTGTATTAAGGTTCCTTTTTTCCCTACATTCTCATCAACACTGGTTATTATTTGTTGTTTTGTGTGTGTGTTGTATTTTTATAATTCTCCTAGTGAGTATGAAGTAGTATCTCATTGTGGTTTAAATTTGCATCTCCCTGATGGCTGATGATATTGTGTATCTTTTCCATGTGTTAACTGGCCATTTGTGTATCTTTAGAGAGGAGTCTTTTCAGATCCTTTGCCCATTTTTAAATTAGGTTATCTGTCTTCTTAATGTTGAGTTGTAAGAGTTCTTTATACAGTATAAATACAAATCCCTTATCAGATACATGACTTGCACATATCTTCTCCCATTCTGTGAGTTGTTTTTACCTTTCTGATAGTGTGCTTTGAAGCACAAAAGCATTTAATTTTGAAATTTAATTTATCTATTTTCTGCTTTTGGTGATATTATGTTAAGAATCTACTGCCTGATCCAAAGTCACATAATTTACTCTTTTTTTTCTAAGAGTTTTACAGTTCCAGTTCTTATGCTTATGTCTATGATCCATATTTTAGTTAATTTTTCATATATGGTGTGAGGCAGAGATTCAATTTCATTCTTTTGCATGTTGTTCAGAACTTGTTGTTGATAAGACAATTCTCCACTGAACTGTCTTGGTACTTCTGTCTCTTTTAAATCCACATTCAGGGCATTTCATTCCTTGCAAGTATAGATCAGTCTGATCTTGCTAATTTCCAGCCATCGGGTATCATTTTACTCTACTTGAACCTGTAAACTTTGATGCATATATATATACTTATTTATTTCAGTTTGGACAACCACTTAAATTTAAAAACATTTACTGAGTACATACTATGTGCCAAGCAGTATTCTAGATGCTGGGATACAATCTCCACAAGGCATTAAGAGTTCTTGGGAATGGTCTAAAACGCACTGTGTTCCATGACATAGATGGGGACAAAGTGTCAGAGATGCAGAAAAAAAACAGAACCACCATTTCTGTGTTGGAGGTTCTGGAAGGGTCACACTGAGGAAGGCATCTGAAATGCAAGAATGATTGAAGTGTCAGACAAAGAAGGGGCTCTTGAGTATGTCAGGCAGAGAGAAATAATGGACACAAAAGTGTGTAGCTGAGAAAATGCCTGATATATCCAAGGAACAGAAGTTCGACGAGGTAGCAGTGTGGAGTGGCAGGTAAAGGTGAATCCTGAAAGGTGAGCAGGGTCAAGTATGAAGGATCTCAAATGCTATATACTAGAGAACTTTAACTCTGCTTTGTATGCAATATTCACCCCGCTCAAGATCTGAACAAGAGAGTTACATGTATTTTAGGAAAAGAATTTGTGGGGATAAGTTGTAGAATTAACTAGCACGGGGACAGGCTAGTAACTGGTCATTTCTTACATATGTCCAGCTTGGAGGGTTTTTTTTTTTTTTTTTTTTTTTAAATTTTATGATTATTTCTTCTCACAACTGCATGACAACAATGTATTTTGCTCCTTAGATCTCTGGGTGATGACAAGCCTCCTAAGACATTTTATATTTGGTTCTACCCTCCTCATTTCTTTGAGGTGCTTATGCTGCCAGTCTTAAAGAAGATGTTGTACACAAATCCTATTGGTTTCTCAATTAAATTTTCCTCATAGCAGCAATCCGTTTTTCTCAAGACACTTCACTGTCACGTATGAGTAAAGATGTAATACCACCACTGAAGGTCACTGAACTCTGGGCCCATCTTCTGGTCAGGAAGCCTAACGCATCTGGAGTTGAATAAATACCTTACAGGCTACTGCTTTCTCTTTTTCAATTTAGGATCTAAATTATTTCATTTCTACTATTCTTTGAGTATCTGCTAGCATTTTCTTTCATAATTCTGAGTTGAGAAAGTGTTTCACTATTGTTCTATCACCAGTTTTATGAAATTTAGTTTATAGCTTGGTTTTACCCTTTCTACCTGAATTTTCTATACATAAGTTTCTCCGAATCAGAAATACACCAGGGTCTAGAATTCTCCATTTTTTCCTATGGCTCCAAATAAACATTTGCTGTTCATAAAATCACAGTGACACAACTGGCAAGAAAAAACACACTGCAGTTTCTCCCCACTGGACGAGAAACTCCACCTTTACCTTGTAATCCTTAAATGGAATTTCAGCATAAAATCCAAAAAAAAAACCCACTGTCAAGGGGATTCCAACTCACAGCGACCCTGTAGGGCAGAGTAGAACTCGCCACCAGGGCTCCTTTAGCATAAAAGGAGGTGTTATTTCTGCCATCACAATGCTGAGAACTGTACGCTGCCTGTTCAATGAAATGAAACACTTCCTCAAAATAAATTAGCAAGAGACATAATGGAATTCTACATTCCTTGTTCCTTTCTGTTAACTGACTGCTGACGTGAATGTGATCCATCATCTCCTGTCCTTACTAGAAGGGCCTGTTCTACATCCTTTTGTCCCTCCAGTGATTCCTATTTACAAAGACTTGTGTAAAACAAGTCATTATTTACAACAACTGGAAGACTGGCCAATAATCTGGCTACTCTGAAAGAAAAAAAAAAAAAAAGATGTCAAATTGGCTCATGTAAAAGTAGGGATAGAAAAAATCAAATTGTAGAGGCTGCAATATGCCTTAGACAGTAAAGAAATGGATAAGTTTTTTTCTTTAGAGAAGGATAAATCTTTGATTCCTGCCTGCACTTCAGTAACCTTCCTATGTGGCTACCAATTTTTTTCAACCTAGTAACAGCATTAAAAACTCACAATTACAGATTTTTAAACTACTTTAAAAGCTGAAAGAAAGTATCAAAGAAAAATCTGGAAGGATATAATCTAAAAAAAAAATAGTGATACAATGGTTATCACCTCTGGGTAGTAAAATTATACATATTTTCTTTTATATAACTCTTCTGCTTCTTTTAATTTTTTTTCCAGTGAGTACTTGATGCTTTTATAATCAGAAAAAAAGAACAAAAGAGGCAAAGAGAGAGGGAAAAAAAAAAGTTGGGTAGTTATTTAAGAGGTAGTTAAGCCAGGAGAATCAGGGAAGTGTGCATATTATGCTGAGCCTAGGACAAAAACCAAGGCATACACAGACATTCAGTACATTCCAGGCATCCTGAGCATTTTATACCTTCTCCAAGCATGGGCGTATAACTCATCCTTTAAAAAACTTTTTAGCCTTCCAACATACCTCTGAGATTGCTATGACCATCATTTTACTTAATAGAAAACCAGTGTTCAGAGAAATTTGAGTATAAACAGCCAAGTTCTCACATCATACTCAAGTAATTCACCAAACCAGGCCGTGCCACGTTATGTAGAAATGGGACTCATAACAAAAGGTAGGCCCTATTTATATCAACAGTGTCTCCTTTGATAATTTTAATAATTAAGTCTATGAATATTTTGTTTCAGTAAATTGTGGTACAAATGGAAGGAAGTTTCTGAGGCAGGGAACTCCATGAATGAGTAACAACCAAATGGTCAAGTGTGAAACCCAATGTGGCTGAGGCAGCCTGGGAACCCTGCTGTGTTTCCCTCCCTCAGACTTTCTGGCATGTCAAGTGGCAAGACACAGGAAGTGTCCTGTGGTGACCTTTGTTGTAAGCAGACTGTGAAGCAGAAAGTGAGACTCTGAGTGATTAACCTCCTTACCACAAAAAATGATGGCAACCCTTGCATTAAATTAACTCCTGGAAAAAGAAAAGAGTTTTTTAAGCCTCAATATAATATTCTTTTGGAACAATGACAGCGTCCACAGTGAGTGGAGAAGTCCATAAAACGGCTTACCTGTGAGATATAGCCTGGAGGTACGTGGATGGGAGGAATGGATCCATTGGGTGACATCATGGGAACTTCAGCAGGTCCTAAACGAGGTAAAGTAAGATATTAAGAGTTGAAGAAACATACACTATCAAATAATCATTGATATTTCCAGAGTACTGTCAAAACTAAAGAGAATTAATCACTTTGCCTACTTTCTCTTCAATAACTGGTATACCCTGGCTTAAAACTGGACCTGAAATTCTTGATGAAAAAGAATACCCAACTTTGTAACTCAAGAAAAAATTTTAAAAATAACTATGACCACCCTCATAAATGCTTAATGATTCCCAGAGCCTCAAATTCCATATGCCAAGGCTGCTCAGTTAAGAGTAGTCTAACAAAGTTGGGGGGGGGGGTCTTTTTTTTTTTTTTTTGCATTTAAGAGAATGTATTATTAATAAATGCTTAAACAAACCAACTTTGAAATGAGTTTATCTCTTCTGATTCAAAAGCTCCTACAGACTTGGAGCCTATAATTTTAATTGAGATTATTAATTTCAGTAAGTTTCTGTAACATGCCATTAATTTGAAATAGAAGAAACTTTTAAAATACTCCAAAATCAACTGAATTTGGTATGTGTCTTATGTTATACTGAAGAGGGGAAAATAGAGCATATTTTAAAATTAAGCACTATTAGGCACTATTTGGAACTCTCACGTCAAAATTACTTGGTTTATTTCAAAATCAACTGTTAAATTAACAAGAAATTAGCTTCAAACTATCAAATTCAATGAATGTTAATCACAAATCTAAGGCAAACAAGTTAACACTCACAGTAGCTACCTAAGACATAGTTTGAGCTAATGAATTACAAAGAAATTGATTGCTGTAACATCAACATCAACTATGTCACCCTTCCAAAGATCCCACGATCAAACAATTTCCACTTTTAGAAGCACAAGAACCTCAAAGTCAATGGTTTTCCATTTGGTAGCTGGTAACCCACTTCCCAAATGTCAATCCAAGGCTATGAGTTTCTACTTTGAGATGCGACTTCCTGGCACCAAGTCCCTTGTGTTGTTTATTTGCTTTATCCTAATGTGCGCTGTGCTGCCAGCAATGAAAATTGCTCAGCTGTAACAAAAACCAAGAAAAATACAACAGTTCTCTTGGCAACAGAAGACAGATCCTGCCACCCAGTGCTACATTACACGTAAGCATAATGCACCTTTCACCTTAAAGAACAACTCAGTGTTATGACAAACTCACAGGAGAGGAGGGGTGGGGATGGGGCACAGGGACACAGTCAGCAGATACAGGAAAAAACAGGAGTGAGACAGAGAAGACACATAATATCCATGTAATATTCCAAATGACTAGAGCTTCCTGCAACTTCACGAACAATATATCTGATACCTTCTATGCATATACAAAACCACAGTGGTGTCTCGCACTCGAACATACTGGCAATACTTTAAAACAAAAGAAAAGAGTGGCATAATAGGTAATTGCATGATACCATACTATTTTTTAAGTATGATTCAAATACATCTACCGATCACTGAAGGTACTGATTTCTAAACTCATCCTTCTCGTCAGCTTCAGCATTTTTGCCACAGACAACAAGAAGTTTAGGTATTCACTTATAGAGTCAATCCTCTCCGCAGAGTACATATTTACGAACTTGCCTACTCACCCAAATTTATTTGTAACCCCGAAACCAATATGAGCAGCACTTTCAGAGTCATTTGTGAACACATGCACAGACACAAAAAATTTGAGTTGTCCGATGTGCACACTCCCAGCTGAGGTCAAACAAGGCAACACTGTACCTTCTTGTTTCAGCTTCATACTGTAAACAGGTATCCTTTTTGCAGTCTATGCAGTGTCACGTTTTTCACCTTTCGGGGTTTTTCTTGGTGATCTCACTATTTAAAATGGCCCCCAAGGGGAGTGCTGAAGTGTTATCTAACGTCAATCCCAAGAAAGTTGCGATGTGCCTTATGGAGAAAATATGTGCGTTAGATAAACTTCCTTCAGGCATGACTTAGAGTGCTGCTGGGCATGAGTTCGGTGTTAATGAATTAACAATATATATTAAATAAGGCGTGTTTCAACAGAAACACACATGAAACAAGGTTATGTATTAATCAGCTGATGAAAAAATTACAACCAGAGGCTTGCAGGAAACTAATCCTGGATTTTCCCTAAGAACAACAGTTCAAAAGTCACTAATTTAGTGTTTGTGGTGACTTTATGGAACATACAACAACAAACAATAAGAATCAACTGTATTTTTATGTGAATTGACTCACTTTAAAAAAAATCATAGACAACCCTTTCAGCCTTAGCTTGAACACTATCTATGAAATCCAAGGGACACTGCATTAAGCTCTGTGGAACAAGCATTAAAAGTATGGGTTCTGCTCTCTATTCATACCTGCTGTGTAATCTTAGAGAATTCACTTAGCCTCTCTGAGCCTCATTTTTCTCAACAGAAATAAATGAGAATAATATATAATTCCAACCTCATAGGAGGGGTTAGAATTAAATTTGATAACAGAGCAATGCCTGACATGATAATCACTCATTAATATGCTAGTGATCATCACATTATTCTTTAAATTTGTTTTTAATTTTACTTACAGCTTTTCATTGGTTTGTTATAATTACATTTTAACTACTAAGAAAATTTTTTTAGAATTGTATGTCCCTGTAAAATCAGCAAGTATACACCTTGTAAAATACTGACTTAAGAGGCAACAAACCTTCCTCAGGTAAAAATCTAACATTTCATAGTACAGAAAGTGAACAGAAATGCTACCACCTCAATAAAAGTATTGGTTTTTAATCACCAAAATGTATACCATGCAAACAGGCTCTTAACCCCAGGCATGACCCCTAAAACTGTTAAAGTCATTTGTGTAAAATGCTTTAAAGTATGTAGGACAAGTAAGTGATTTACAGCTAGAAAATGTTTTCTTCCCAACCTCGATTTCAAGAGTAGCCAAATGACTTTAACATGCTTACTCCCCATACCTCTTTGTCGCTGTCATCAAAATTCTTTTAAAGGGCATTGCAAATATACAGCAATGGCTTCCAAAACTTAACTGCATGCCTTGGAGCTCCAAGGTTCCTCTGCTTTCTGAAATAAACCATTGCATCCTCAGGCATTCAGGAGTTTAAGTTTGCAAAATAAAATCCCATAGGCAATGCTAGCATGAGAAAAGGTATTGTCTCCCTGCGCTTATCTTGCTATTGATGAGTTTACTGCCTCTGAGCAGCTGTCTGTGTTTGAGAATGTTCTGATATTACTGTAAATCCTCCACTGATTAAAACACAAACTTCCCTCCCTATGCTTCTAGGACCAGGTTCCTTTTGTTTTTATTAATTGATACAGATAAGACACACAAGACTTAAAGGATACAGCCCTTAGAATATGGTAACAAATGGTTCCTTTCTTGTTCGAACTGCCAACACTGGCTATATAACAGTCCCCTCCTCGCGCAGAAAAAAAAAGCCACATGATCTTCTCCCAAGGCTAATTTCCTCAACTTTACTGGGAAATCAACAGACTATTAAATTTTTGGAAAAAAAAAATTTAAATCTCTTAAAGTGTCCAGAACCCTCTTTAATTAAACACACTGGTTAAACCAAACCAAACCCTCTAGCATCGAGTCCATTCCGAGTCATAGCAAACCTGTAGGATGGGGTAGGACTGCCCCATAGCGTTCCCAAGGCTGTAATCTTTATGGAAGCAAACTGCCACATCTTTCTCCTGCAGAGCTGCTGGTGAATTCGAACCACTGACCTTTGGATTAGCAGACAAGTGCCTGACCACTGCACCACCAGGGCACCTCAACACACTAGCTACATACAGGTAAACAGGTCTATGCAGATACATGTGCACATAAATTTAGATAGTTTGAAGACAAAAATATACAAACATACACTTCCAAAATAACTACCAGTGAGCAGAGTATTATTTTTGAGAAAATAATTAAGAAGCTCAACTAGAGACCACATGAACTCTTTCACAGACAGATGAAAAAGTCACAAGCCAATTTCAAGAAGTAGGAAGAAAATGTTTGCTAAGAGCCAAGAATCCTATGGGGAAAAAAAATGTCTTGGGAAACGTTATCGATTTCAGGTTTTAGGCTATGAACCGTACTTTCCAGAATTCCTAGGTCCCCTGAGCAAAATGTGAAACACAAGAACAACTATGGTTGGTCTATAGCATGAAAAGTTTTTAACTGCATATGCAATTCATCTGTTAATGAATTGATTTTTCATTTACTTATAGCAAACCTTGAACCAGAAAAGTTATAGGGCAGCTTAATTATTCAATCAACTGTAATTCATGCAATGATCCTATGACTTTATCAGAGACTAAAGGAAAGCCCAGCAACACTGCAGTCCACAACCACCCACGAGCTCATGGAGAGCTCCTAAGCTCTATTGAGGCTCCCAGGCTGTTCTGTCTCACCCTGTGCTCCTTCCCACCTACCAGTGATCCCCCAGCTCACGCGTTTAGACACCTCTTGCTTTGGTGGGAACTGATGCTATAATTCAGATCATTTACCCATTCTGGGGGCAGAGTTAACTAGATGACTGAAGGTGAATAAACAAATCCAAAAGTGGGGGAAACTGGGAATCGGGATGTAAATGATTTGAACTAGCCTTTGAAATAAGACCAGCTGTCAATGATTAATTACACTATACTTTCCAATATTTTTCAATGGTACTTTTATAAGCTGAGTATTCACAACAGGTAAACAGGTAGTAAAAAAAAAAAAAGAATTACTGTGCTTATCTATAAACTCGTCCTTGTGTGCCCAGATAGCTGTTACTCAACAACAGCCCTTAGCAACAACAGATTACATTCTCATTAACCTATATATCATCTTGCTCAAAAGGGATGTAAGGGGGCTGAGATTACAATATAACAAGATAAAATAAAACTAATGAGAAAAATGAAGCAAACGTGAAATAATAATGTGATAAAAACCAGTATACTCTATAAAAGTGGTCCTCGAGTCTGTATAAGTAGCCAAAGAAGAGGGACTGGGTTGGCAGAAGTAGCCATAAGAATAAGGCCAG